CTCGCTTGGCAGCTACCGCTTGCTCTGCCCAAATGAGATCAAGAGCGTGGCACAAGTGATTCCTAGCAAACAAAGTTGCTTGATAGTCCATTGCGCACAAGCAAACGAATGCTGCTATATGAGAAATGACAGCAGTTGTGGCATCCACTAAACCATGGATCTTAGCTTACCTACAGTGGACATCTATAAGCCTTGTGCGACCACAAACTCATTTGCCAGGTTGGCATTAGCACGACAAGTACGAAAACCTTTGAATCGCAGGTAGGTTGTTTCATGCCTCGTTTGAAGCCAAACGGGTGATGTTCCGTGAAGATGAGTATCAGCTCTGCTTATTTAGGGCACTCGATACACTTGCGCGTCAAGCGAAAACACATTTTTCTAGCCCAACTAACAGAAATATTTCACGTGCATTATTGAACTGAGGGTAAACGTTAGCTTGTCTTAGCTGTTTGTTTACTTATTTATCTTGTTTATCATTTATTTAACTATGTACGGCTCTGAAAGAAGCGTGTCTATTTGGCTTACATGTTGAAGTCATGCATGTTTTTTTTTATAAATGACATTTTTCTCACAGGATGAGTGCAAATTCCTTCTGAAAAGGCCTTGTGCTCGCACTACCTTAGCTGCCTCGAATATCGACCGGGGAGTCTAACTCTGAATGGTAGGGTTTGCATGAACGGACTTTGCATCAGATGCAAACCGGGTTATACGTCAGGTCGCATTAGATATAGGACTAAGTTGAGCAGATATTCAGACACCACAAGTTGATTCAAACTTGACCTAACGATAGTTACCCCATTCATTTGCTTCCTCCGCCTATGTACTTTTGATCTCCAGTTGTTTTGCTTATCCGTACCCGCCACTCACCTTGCCGCAGAGGCCGTCCTTTCTGACACTTTTGTATCGACATGTGTCTGTGTGTGAATATGCGCTGCTGACCGACTTACCCATGCGCATTCATGTCCCGTTGTTGCTGAGCCTGCCTTGACTTGTTTTCTCGTGAGTTCCGTGTGATCGCACGTCCAATGAGAATCACGACACCGTCGTCTGAAGGGACGACGGCAACCCACGCTACTGAGCCATCATTCTGCTCTCTGTTGTTTGGTCTGCGGACGGTGACACTGCACTGTGCCGGTCAGTGACAGACCTGTGAACATGTTGACGCTACGAACATGAGCAATTGAGGTTTGTTGTACACATTTGCTTACCCTTGTGTAAAATAGTACCGCAGAATTACGAACCCTATTCTTCCTTTTGATATTCGGGATTGTCGAACATACGCGCCACTTAAAGGTCCGTATTGGTAACCTCAAAAACAAATTTACTAGGCCCTGTATTTTTCTGTGTAGACAACGTGTGATGTTCCTACTTTTATTCTGGGCTAATCGATGGTCGTAGCGACTGCAAACATTAATCATTTACCACACCAAATTATTCCGTGGATGAAGAAATAATGACAAAAATATGCATCTAAAAACTGGTGGATTGGCAGAAGGCGTCTCTTTGTCCGGCCAGTACAAATTTCCCTGAACCAGCTCCTTTAATATATTCGAAGCAGCATACCCTTGGTCAAGATAACCTCAGGATTTGCCATCGAACACCGAATAGCGTACCAAATGAGACATGTTAACAACTTGCATCCCAGTAACCAGATATCGAATTTACAGATGGGACTTATCGGCGAGCTACTCACGCCTATGCAAGTGAGTGAATTCAAGCTACAAAACTTACACTCGAGACTGGCAACGTAGTACATCATTTCTGAATGCGGATACCCTAAGCATGCATCGGTGTTCAGCTCTTGACCGAGTATGCTGCTTCGTTCCTGATTTTCTCTACAGTTATCCATCTGGGTACGTTTGTCGAAATAAGCAGGTTTAGTCAACATCCATTTAACATCAAACAAAAGATGTAAAACCTGCTGCTATTGATGAGCCAGCATCCCAAAATTAGACATTTTCCGACCAAGTGTAGAATGTTTGGTGTACTCACTCGCTGTTCAAAGGCAGCGGTTCGTATTTTCGGCGGCATTTCGTCAACATTTCACACCCTCCTATCTTTGATGAAATTATTTATCCCTGGTCTGTGCCCCCTAGTCAGCTTGTATATCCGTCTTTCATCCGCATTCAGGATACCGGTTGTATTGGCTTCCGCTTTCTAATGACTCTACCCACTTCTATGTTGCGACTCCAGAATCCACAGGGTGGATTTTATATGGCCAGTTTTCACTTATTTAATCACCTCATAATCTCTTCTGGGTTTAGGCTTTGGAAGCTAACGGACCAGCGATAATGGGCGGCCACGTGCCAGTCTTCCGACAGTGCACACCATTGGCCGTCCCAATGTGTCCCGCTCTTACAGTAATCTGAGTTATGAAGCTATTCGACTGGATGGAGTAAAGACCAATTTTTCGATGCCAAAAGTACCATTTTTAATCGGGTTCTAAATGACCTCCTAACTAGATGAACCCATTATTCGTAACCGAAATGTCGCACAAAATGCGATGTGGCCATAGTGATGGAAATGGATAAACTAATAAAAACGCTATGGCTGCCAATCAAAACAAGGTAGTGGTTTGTTTCAAAACGGTTCTAGTTACTAGTTGCTATGGTCAGTTTTCATCTCTTGGCCGCGTGAACCCCAGATCACTTCGGTTGGCCTCCCCTGCCTTTAGATTTCTCGTGCTGAATGGAACACATCAAAAGAAACATCTGTTTGCTACTCTTGACTCTCACTGTCTGCTTGCTGGCCAACATATCGACGATAAGCAGTTGGCTTTCTTATTTATATAAACGCTCGTAGCCGTACTTTTGTGTTCTCTAGAACGTTTGGTACTTCACTTGGAAATTTTCTGCTGATGAAAATGGAGTGTTTGTGGTCCATGATCGCCTCTGCCTTTCTCTCATCCGTACTGGTGTTTAAGAGGTGTAGGGAAAACACCACTAACAGCATTTTC